AGGCTGTAAATCTTTACGGGAGCAGAAAGCCTCATCTTTCTCCTGTGGAACAGGTGGTAGTTTCGAACTGCTGACCTTGCGGTTTGCAGCCCGATTTGTAACTACTACGCTACCAGAGGTATGAAGAAATATCAGCACAAGAAAACACTGTTGTTGTAAACTGCCATCGAGTCAGTTCCGACTCACAATGACACTACACAGGGTTTCCAAGGAGTGGCTGGTTGAATTGGAACCGCTGACCTTGTGGTTCAAACCAACCTTGGGTCCAGTACTTTAGCCTACAGCGTCACACCAGGACTCCACAAGAAACGTTGTTGTTGTGATGTGCTATGGAGTTGCTTACGACTCATAGCAACCTAGTAAAGGGTTTCTGAGGCTGTAAAGTTTTACAGGAGCAGAGCGCCTCATCTTTCTCCCGTGGAACAGCTGGTAGTTTTGAACTGCTGACCCTGCGGTTTGCAGCCTGATTCGTAACCACTACAAGAAACATAGATAAATCTAAACTGTTAAGTACCATTGAATTAGTTCCAACTCAGCGTGACCCCGTATAGGGTTTCCAAGGAGCTGCTGGTAGGTTTGAACCGCTGGCCTTGTGGTTAGCAGCCCAGTCCTTATCCTACAGCATTACATCAGGTCTCCAAACTGCTGTTGTTGGTAATTTCCGCCAAGTTGGTTCCAACTCATAGTGACCCTGTATAGGAGCTGCTGGTGAGTTTGAATCACCGATCTTGGGGTTCAAACTGACCTTGAGGTCGAGTGCTTATCCTATAGCACCATACTAGGAATCTAGGACTCCAATTGTTTGAACCAAAGAACTAGTGTTTTATAAAAAGGAAAATTTTATCATCAGAACAGTCTGCTTTCCTATGTTTATGATGTATTTATTATGTTATTTTTACAAGTAGCAAAGTCCAATCATTTTTCCCCAGCAGAATATACATGAATATAAAAACCTATTGACTTCCGTATTGTACCCCCACTCCCATCAGGTTAGAGCTAGTAAGGAAATTGTGGCTTATGAACAGCCTCCCGAAGTAGAGATGGTTTCCTCCTCAACTTAGTCTTGAACTTGAATTAGTCATCCTCTTGCTGATTTCTTTTCTGTGAGAGGAAAGCAAGAGTACATAAAATAGAACTTTAAAACTGGGCTATTTGTTCAGCCAAGATCACTTTTCTCTGCCAGTAAGGGTAAGTATCTAGAAGTCTTGGCAAATGCTATGGTTGAAAGTGACTGTGGAAACACATGCCTTAACTCACTAGTTTATGATTTTAGTTCCTGGTTCCTCAGGTATTTGAATATTTTCTCCCCTATCTTCCTTATATACATTTCCACAAACAGGGACACATACAAAGGTACATGTTCACACTCCCTCTTGAGAAACAACAAAAAGATCTGATCTTTTATCAGCCCTGAAAGAGTATACATACTAACTTCAAAATTAGAATGAGTATGAGAATTATTTTAAAATATGGGTATCATAAAAAAATTTCTAATAAAAAACTGTTAACTCAGTAATTGTTTCTTTAATTCATAAATATAAAAGTCTAATATGGGTGGCAAATAGAAGTCTAATAAAAGGTTGTTGTTGTAATGTGCCATGGAGTCGGTTCCGACTCATAGTGACCCTACACAGGTTTTCCGAGGCACCATACTTTACGGGAAAATAAATCTTTACGGGAGCAGAAAGCCTCATCTTTCTCCCACAGAACAGCTGGTAGTTTCGAACTGCTGACCCTGAAGTTCGCAGCCCGATTCGTAACCACTACGTAGTATAGGATTAAAACAAAATATTAAAAAGACAATCTGAAGATAAATATGGACAGCATACTAAAAGAATGCACACACACACACACACACACCCTCTTACCAGTTTAAGAAAATCTATTAGTTTGTGAGCATCTTCACCAGTAGAGAGATCTACAAAATCCTTGGGCAGTCGATAACTCAGGTAGGGACTGGGTTGGACTGTAACTTCACTGTTTGTGCAGCGAAAAGCTGGAGAATCCTTTAAAAAGAACAAAAGAGAAGTAATTACTGTGAGTGAAAAATCTTTTTCTTTTGTCTAACCTCCAAACTAAAGAAGATTCTACCAAAACAATTTCAGTATTTTAATGCAATTCTACATATTCACTAGGAAATAAACAGAAGGAATCTGAAAACAGCATCCTAATAGGACCTTATTAGGTCAAGAGCAGAAATTTCCAATCCCGAAATTCTCTCAGTAGACAGCCACAAATGGACTCTGTGTAATTTTGGCCCTCAGAAGGTCAAAGGCTTTCTTGGGTCACTCATCTTGGCCTCAAGTAATCTCACATACACCAGAATGCTTTGTAAATATTATCAGTTGGGTACCTGGTTGGGAAGTAATGTCTTAGAGAACAAAGCTACTAGTGAGGGCAAATGAGTGCTTTGAATTCCTTAACACTTTTGTACTTTTCGGTGGTCATTTACTTCTCTTTATTTGCATATATGTCTCAACACTTTTGCAAAGTGCAAGTATTTTATCTAGAGAATTTTCACATTCTTTAATGCATTACACAGTCTTGTATATAATATTTATATGTTGATTCAGGACCAAATATATTTCATATAGTTGAGAAGCAGTTAAAGATAATTCACAAGCGGAGACAGAAGATCCTGCTTGAGTTTGGACTTCATGGATGGCAGGTATTTAGGTGAGGGATGGTGTCCAGCAAATGGAGGCAGGCTAAAATCTGAGGACCCTAGAGAGCAGGCCACATCTTACAACACATGGCTAAGCATCTGACAAAGATTTAGTAAACATCTACTTTGTGCTGGATCTTGTTCCAGGTACAGGATATACATTGGTAAACAACACTGGTGGACAGGCAAAACCAAATAGATTAATAAAAGAATAAGCATGCAGACTATCTGAGGGATCAGTATGACTACAATAAGCAGATGACATCTAGACTGAGAACTGAATGGTATAAAAAAAAATCAGTCTTACAAGAGTCTGGGAGTAGGACACAGCTTTGAAAGGAGTGGACAAAACTAGCGCAAAGGTCTTAAGAAAGGTAGGGCTTTGCAGCTTCAAGGAGCAGAAAGGCAGCCAGTTTTCTGTGGAGTGGAAGAAGCCTGGTGAAAAGGTGGCAGGAGCCATTTCTTATTTCTTTTGTCACTTCTCAATCTCCAAGACAATTTTGTTTAAATGAAGAAAATAAAATAAAAATGTGTATCATAAGGTAATCACATATTAACTGTTTCTCTCCAGTAAATATGTTCCTCAACCTCTAAAAATAAGATCAGTGTAGAAGTAATTTACACTCCCCTTCTTGGTTACTCAATTTTAATGGCCCACAACTGTAAGATGCCAGCAAGGATAAAATCCCTTCATTCACTAATCCAACAAACATTAACTGTGTCTGGCACTGTGCTAAACTCTGGTGATACACAGAGAACAAGAGACACACTATCTGCATTCTTACAAACTTTAATCTCATGCAGGACATAAATCAGTCAACAGACCAGTTGAATACAGTGTGCTAAGTATCATTTAGGGATAAACAGAGATCAGATTCAAATCTAGAAAAACAGGAAAAAAGAATGTCCAGGAAAGAGTCATGACAAGAAGAGGCATTTCACACATGGGCAAGAGAAAAGTTGCTCTCAACAAAGGCAGGAAGACCTCTAGGAGAAGAACATGTATCACAGACAGCAGGCTGTGACAAGAATAAAGAGGAGGGTAACATTTTCACATACTGTCTGGTTGCTTGTGAGAGAAGGACTTAAATCTCTGACAGGTCCTTGGTGACCCTGCAAACAGCTGCTTCTACTGAGTGGTAGAGGCAGAAGCTCCCTGGCAGTGGGATGAAGGCAGCATATGTGAGAAGGGTGAGAACCAATAGGCCACAAGAACAGGTGACCATCTAAGGAGCTTGTCTGTGATGACATAAACTATTCAGGGGTTAAGGAAAAAGCAATGACTAAAACTAGCATGATTCCACTTAAGTAAAAGTACATGAAATGCCAAGAAAAATATTAAATGAAATGTTAAGAGCGGCTATTTCTAGATGGTACATTCCATGTTCTGCCTCTTTATAATTTCCTACATTTTAAAAATGACCGTGTAAGAATCAAACTAATTCCGTAAAATATAAAATGCTTACACGGCCACACTAAGTGAAAAACTCAGGATACATTGCATACGTAATATACGCTCATTTATTTGTAAAGGTGCCTAGCATGTGTATGCGGAGCAAATAATCCAAGAAGCTGGATTATAATGAAGAAAAACATGGCATCAGGATTGGAGGAAGACTCATTAACAACCTGCAATATGATACAACCTTGCTTTCTGAAAGTGAAGAGGACTTAAAATATTTACTGATGAAGATAAAGAGCACAGCCTTTGGTATGGATTGCATCTCAATGTAAAGAAAACACAAATCCTCACCACTGGACCAATAAACAACATTCTTAACAATGGAGAAAAGATTGAAGTTGTCAAGGACTTCATTCGCCTCGGATCAACGATGAACACTCATGGAAGCAGCAGTCAAGAAATCAAACGACGTATTACATTAGGTAAATCTGCTGCACAAGACCTTTTTCAAGTGTTTGAAGAGCAAAGATGTCAGTTTGAGGACTAAGTTGTGCCTGACCCAAGCCATGGTATTTTCAATAACCTTATATGCATGTGAAAGCTGGACCGTGAATAAGGAAGACCATAGAAGAATTGATGTTTTTTAGTTATGGTGTTGGAAGAGAATATTGAAAGTACCATGGGGCTGCCATAAGAACAAACAGGTATGTGTTGGAATTAGTGCAGCCAGGACGCATCCTTGGAGGCCAGGATGACCAAACTTCATCTCTCATACTTCAGACATATTGTCAGGAGGGACCAGTCCTTGGAGAAGGATATCATGTTTGTTAAGGTGGAGGGTCAGAGAAAAAGAGGAAGACCCCCAATGAGATGGATTGGCAAAGTGGCAGCATCAATGGGCTCAACAAACTCAACAATGTGAGGCTGGCCCGGGACCAGGCAGTGTTTTGTTCTGTTGTGCAAAGGGTCGCTATGAGTCGGTACCGACTCAATAGCACCTAAAAAGAAGAAGCATGTGTATATGGGTTGCTGTTGTTAAGTGTCATGGAGTTGATTCCGACCCACAGCGATCCTGTATAGGGTTTCCGAGGAGCAGGTGGTGAGCCTGAACTGCCGACCTTGCAGTAGAAACACTCTGGCGCATGAAGACTGCTGTTATTGTTAAGTGTCATCAAGTCAGTTTTGACTCATAGCAACCTTGTACAGGGATTCCGAAGAACAGCTGGTAGGTTTGAACAGCTGATCTTATGGTTCACAGTCTAGTGCTGATCCTATAGTGCCACACTAGGAATCTTTGTATGTAGACTAGATACCAAAATATAACCAGTGGTTCTCAAAAGTGGTGGGATTGTGAGTAATCTTAAAAATTTCTCTTCAAATGAGAGTGTAAAGACTTTTATAGTCAGAAAGAAAGCAATACACAGTTGTTGTCTAACAGAACTGAGACGACACAGAAAGGAGAGCAGAGCTGGGTGAAAATATGGGGTTAAAGCATTTATTTTGTTTTAAAGATTGGAGCTTTTTGGATATTATTAACATGGTTGAATTCTGATGTATAGGTGCTGGCAGAAAGGAAAAAACTCGATAAAATAGAAAAGAGGATAAAAAGAAAAAAAAATAGCACAATGTACCTGGAAAGATGGAAGAAAATGGTATGCTGAATAGGTGAAGAGGTTAGATCTAGGAAAAAGGATGCAGATAACATTTGTAGGTTTGATGACAATTAAACTGAATTAATTCTCATAGATAGATTCTTTTCCTTATGAAGAAAGAAGAGAAATCACCCCCTGAGAATAAGGAAAAGAATGATGGGATAGAAGATTTGAGGAGGTAGAGAAAGAGTGGAATACACTGTGGGTCATGAGAGTGAGAGTGGACTAGGGAAACAAAACACTGTATTTGAGACCACTTGAAAAAGAGAGGCAGTGTTCAGTGTTACGTAGGCTGGGGCTGGGATCATAATAAACAGGCTTGATACAGGGTTGAGATTCCTACAGGTGGGCATGACAGAAGAAGACACACAAAAAATAATTAGAAAAACTTCATCAGATAATCATAATATTTAAAAATAAATGGCTAGCTGAATGAATCACAAAATGTACATTCCTTTTAATCACCTCTCCAGGCAGTGACTCTGTTATACTACACACTTCCCAAGCATACAGGTCACTGCCTATCCAAGTACTGAACAAATAAGCAAGGAATTGTTTAATGACTTTAATGTATTTCCTTTTTATATATATAATTTTTTTTTTTTAAATGTCTTACCTGCTCTAGGGCATCTCCTTCACTAAGTTCAGCCTTCAAGTTTGTTCCAGATATCAATTCTTCCCAAGTAAATAGCAGTGGATCTGTGACCTCACCAAATGGATTAAAATCAATTAACCACACCTTTCCCTGTATTATAGAGAAAATAAAATTATTAAGTATAAATTTAAAATGCTTAAAGTCTATACTATAGTCATTCTTATCAGAAAAGTAGCCTATAAATTGTTTGCCCCAAAAGAGAATCTCAAAAATCTTATTATATTTCATATGTTTTCTCTTGGTTCTGTTTAGGAAACATCTACCGGTCTCGATAAAGTAGCCACAAATCAAAAGTGATAGTCACCTGTGAATACAGAAAAACGGGGTCCCTGAGGAAGAGTTGGATTCTAATTCTTTCTTCTATCCCCACTAAAATGTCTAGAACTCAAATGAGAAAGAGGAAGAACTTTCAGAAAACTTCACCCAAAGCAGTAACGACTGAAAGGAGCCCTGGTGACGCAGTGGTAAAAGTACTTGCCTGCAAACCTAAATAAACATTAGCAGTTGGAACCCACCAGCCACTCTGTGTGAGAGCGATGTGGCAGTCTGCTTCCCTCTAGGTTACAGTCTCACAAACTCTTCAGGGAAGTTCTACTCTGTCCTAGGTGGTTGCTGAGTCTGACCTGCCTTGATGGCAATGGGCATTAGCAACAACAACAAACGCAGTGTGGCTGAACTGCTTTCAAGAGCGCCTTCAGTACACGTTCCTCCCAACGGAGCAGGCAGAGGGGGAAGATGGGCAGCAGTTGTCAGACGGCAGCACTGCCTACTCTTCAAGGCCTGCTCTCCAGAGTGCATCTCTCTTTTTCAAATAAATTTTTAAAACAAAGTATGGAAATGCTTAGTTTTCTTTTGAATTTTCACTTAACATTTGTTTCGCTTGTATGGTAAAGCTTGATAGCATATGAAGCAAAGATTTAAATATATATATAAGCCTATGAAAGAAATTTCAATCTTCTCCTATTCTGAGAGTTGTTGTAGTTAAGTGCCATTGAGTCGGTTCCAACTCATAGCAACCCTGTATAGGATTTCTGAGGAGTGGCTGGTGGATTTAAACCACCACCCTGCAGTTCAAATCAATCTTGTGGTCCAGTGCCTCCCACAGCACCACCCCAGGAGTCCATCCTGAGAGCAGTGGGGGGCAATCTGCCAGGTCAGATGAGTCACAGAATCAGGTGTATGAGTCGACATAACACAACAGAATGGAGCAGGGGTGTTCTGCTAAATCCTGTCAAGAAATTTAACCCAGCACATTTGGTCACAGAGGTATGTCATTGTCACATCTAGTGGTTTACCATTTCTTTGGCATTTTTACCTTTACTCCACTGATTTTTCCCATGGAACTATTCATTCAATTGCAATACTTTTGTTTATAATTAATTCATTTTTTCTAGAAATATATACCAGTCAGGTCCTGACAGGATGTAGGTATAAAATGACATGTGTCTAAGGAACTAGGCAGCATTACTAATATTACTGTTTCTCATCTGAGTAAAATTTTAAGATGAAAAAACCCTTTATTAGGACTTGCTTCAAATTAGAAACCTCAAATAAGTGGTAAAGAACCATTAGAGGAAATTTTCAGCCACACAGCGTTTGGGTAAGGTTCTTGTTCTATACCATGCCCAGGAGACATGCTGCACATATCTCTTGTTACTAGAGTTGTTTCCTCATACCAATTTAACAGCCATGTCTACATTTTCTGTCTATAGGAAATGGTATCAGCCATCAATCAATTTCTTGGTAAGACGTCAACTTTGTTTTCTGAGCTATTATGAAGATATCTTTGCTGTACTGTGTGCTATTTAACAAAAAGGATCTATTCTAACCATCAAACTCTTCCTCTTTGATTTTCTATAACCAGTAAAACCATTATACAGCTAAAAGGAAAAAAATAAATATGAAATGGAGAAAGAAATATACCACCTATTATTAAAGGATTATTGAGCTCAATAAAATAAAAACATGCCACATTATAGAAAACAAATGAAAAAATAAAAATGGAGACAAATCATTGTGAAGACTAATAGGTGACAGTTTTCTCTGTCACCTTGAAATTATTCTCTAGTTAAAAATGCCACACAAACAAAATCTAGCTGTAATCAGGGATAAAACTGTACAGATCAGGCATTTATAACATTTTTTTCATGTGACATATCAGACACAAGACTTCCCAGGAAACTCTGTTTTTAGATAATCTGTTGGTTAAGAACAGCCAGACTAACCTTCCTTATACCTACCAATGGCCATCTGTCCATCTATCCATATAAGTCTCTATGTACCAGACACTGTGCTAGGCACTGGAGTATAAAGATCAGTAAGGAATACAGACAGTATCTAGTCCTTCAAAGAGTTCAATCTAGACCAGGACACAGGAAAGGAAAACCATCCATCTATTACAAGACAGTTAATCAGTGCTTCAATAAAGGTATTAACAGGGAATTTAGAAATTACAGTGGAGTATATGTGGCACTGTGGGCTAAGGCGCTGGACTGCAAAGTTGGTTTGAACTGCAAAGTTGGCAGTTCAAACTCATTAGCCACTCCTTGGAAACCCTATGCAGGGTCACTATGGGCTGGAACCAACTCAATGACACTTAACAACAACATACTCCTGGTGTAGCACTCACTGTAGGATCAGGACTGGACTTCGACACACAAGGTCAGCAGTTCAAACCACCATCTGCTCCTCAGAAACCCTAGACAGAGAGTCCTGGTGTGGTGCTATAGAATAAGCACTGGACCTCAAGGTCAGTTTGAACTGCAAGGTCAGTGGTTCAAACACACCAGTGGCTCCTATAGGGTCACTAGGAATCAGAACTGACTGGATGGCACACAACAACAGCATGAGTCAGAACCCACTACAGAGCACTTAACAGATGAAAAAACCCTAATTAAATCTGCACGCATTTTTTAAAAGACAATAGCCGGGCTGGTTAGGAAGGTGGTGGTGGCTGGTGGCTAGGTAGCATGGAGGCAGTTCCGACCCACAGTGCCTCTGTATAGGGTTTCTGAAGAGTGGACACTAAAAGACAGAGCAGACCATTATAGGGGAAAACAGCAGCAATAAAAACTAGAAGGTACAAAGGACCTGAAACGACAGCCCATCCTGTTGTTGTTAAGTGCCACTGAGTGTGTTCCAACTCACAGGGACCTTATTATGCACAAGGGAATAAAACACTGGCCCGGCCCTACACCAATCTCACATTCGTTGTTACGCTTGAGCACACTGCTGCTGTGCTGTGCCAATCCACCTTGTGGAGGGTCTTCCTCTTTTTTTTGCTGACCCTCCACTTTAGCAAGCATGATATTCTTCTCTGGGGACTGGTCCCGCCTGATATGACCATAGTATGAGAGATGATATCTGGCCATTTTGATTTCTTAGGAGGATTTTGGCTATACTTCTGCCAACACAGATTAGTTTGTTCTTTTGGCAGCCCATGGTATTTTTAATATTCTTCTCCATCATCAAATGCATAAATTCATCTACAATCTTCTTTAGTCACTGTCCAACTGACATCTCTGCTTTTGAACACTTTAAAGAGGTCAGATTTGCCTAATACAATATGTTGTTTGATTTCTTGACTGCTGCTGCCATGAGTGCTGATAACAGATCCAAGCAAAATGAAGTCTTTGACGGCAATCTTTTCTCCATTTATCATGATGTTATTTACTGGCCCAGTAGTGAGGATTTGTGTTTTCCAGCCCATTTAGAAAGTTATTTTCACTAGAATATAAAGTACATGTAAAATATAATACCAGAATTATGGTGATGAAGGAGCAGTGGTGAAGTGCTCAGCTGCTAACCAAAAGTTGAAAGTTTGAACTCACCAGCCACACTGGGGTAGAAAGATGTGGCAGTCTGCTGCGGCCACCTACTTATGTAAAGATTTAAAGCCTTAGAAATCCTACGGGGAAGCTGTATACAGGATCCCTATGAGTTAGAATTCACCTTGCCGGCAATGGGTTTTCACCATAACCTTAAAGCCAACTGCAAACGGTCAGGTGCTGGGCTAACTAACCCAAGAGCTGGCAGTCTGAATCTTTCACAAGTGACACCTCAGAAGAGGAGCCTGACTGACGATGCGCTACCCAGAGATGACCATCATGCAGACCCTACGGAAGAGCTGTTCTGTTTCCTAACACATGGGGTTGCCATGAGTCAGAATCAACAGGTTTGATTTTTCTTTTGGTTCTGAACAGGAAAAAAATTCAGGTTAAAAGAATCTCCTTAGATGCATATATGAGATGAAAAATTAAAAAGTAGAGTCCCCAGCAGCCAGAAATAAACACAGCCACTAAGTCAATTCTGACTTATAGCAACCCTGTAAGGACAGAGTAGAACTGCTCCATAGGTTTCCGAGACAGCAGAATTTAGGAGAGCACACAGCTTCATCTTTCTCCCATGGAGTGGCTGGAGAGTGTGAAGCACTAACCTTTCAGTTAACAGTCCAATGATGATTACCCCACTGTGCCACGAGGGCTCCTTAAGGAAGCTGTGGGAAAACTTAGGATGGCTTTTTTCTCAGGAACCTAAGGGCCTGGGTTTTTAAATATACACAGGACTAGGAGCAACAGCCCTGGAGAAAGGGAATTAGACTTAAGAAGTAAACCTCAGTAGGTTTACTCCCTCCTCAATAAGGGAATAAAGGTATAGTGATGGTGTTGATTATGTGTAGTAGAATCAGTTCCAACTAATAGTAACACTGTATAGGGCCTTAGAGACTGTAAATCTTTATAGGAGCAGAAAATTTCATCTTTCTCTTATGGAGAAGCTAGTAGATTTGAACTGCTGACCTTGCAGTTACCAGCCCGACTCTACCCCACTATGCTACCAAGGCTCCCTGGAAATGTATATAAGCACAGGGGGGAAAAAATCCTGTAGGTGTATAGGTAATGTATTTGGAAAACACATCTGCCATCTTCTAACAGCTAAGTCAATGAGTGCTAATCTCAGAGCAACATTTAATAAACTGAATGTCTCTCAAAAATTATATTAATAGTGAAATCTCTGTAGGATTTCTTTATTAAATACAATTTTCATTATAGGATTTCTTTATTAAATAGTTTTCATTTTCTTTTTCATTACAGAAGTTCTAATTACTTTTAAGGTTTAAAAACTAAATCTAAATTATTCGAATCCTCATTTTTAGTCTATACATAAAACGGATTCAAATCATGCAAACGTTCTTTTCGTTGACTAAAAACGGTTATCTAATAAATAACAAATATCAAACGACAAATTCCTGGCTACATTTAAGTGTGTAAATTATGTTATTTTAACGTCAGATAAAAATAGAAAATACAGGGTGACCATTTAGCCGTCTGTAAAATTAATAATTTCTTAACTTGTGACACATAATTAGGTAAGATCTTGTTAAGGGCTGTCAAGTCAGTTTCAACCCATAGCAACCCTGTATAGGGTCTCCGAGGAGCATCTGGTGGGTTTGAACCAATAACCTTGCAGTCCAGTTCATAATCCTGTAGCGCCACACCAGGACTCCAAGATACTAGGTATCCTTAAAACAAAACAAAACAATGCCAACTAGCCGACTCCAACTCATAGTGACCTCATGTGTTAGAGAGTAGATCTGCTCACATGGTTTTCTGGGCTGAAATCTTTCTTCTACAACACTTCTGGGTGGATTTAAATCGCCAACCTTTAAGTTATTATTGTTGCTGTTGTTAAGTGTCGTCGAGTGGGTTCCGACCCAGAGCAACCTTGTTATAGGGTTTCCAAGGAGTGGTTGGTGAGTTTGAACTGCTGACCGTGTGGTTTGCAGTCCAATGCTGGTCCTACAGTGCCACACTAATGGGGTACAAGCCATTTATGACAGGGGCGTGTAGACTTCCTTAAATATAGCTGAAGGGGAGATTCCAGACTACTGTAAAACATTTACGTATTGATTTCAAGCATCTGCTTGGTCTGAAACAATGTTTTTGAGCAGTGAGATATTTAAATACATAATAGTACTCTGTTTACTTACAAGCCCTGGTTTTAAAACATGCAACTATGGATTCTACTTACCCTACTGTCTCGATAGATATCAAATACAACTGTGAAGAAAGAAAAAATTTCAAGTTAATAATAAATGAATACAATTTAAACAGAAAAACTAATATTTCTAAGATCTAAAGTCTCTTTTAAAAATTAAAATGCATTCTACTATTAGTTTATCAAACACTGCAGAAAAAAACTGACCTTGAGGATTCTAAGTCTCAAAACTTCAAATACAAAAGTCACCCTGCCATGTTTCATTTGTATGATCTTACTTTTCCTTTTGTCTACCCACCTATCAAAATTCCTCAAATTAAAAAAAAGTCAAGCTAAACACTAACATCATCCCAACCAATTCTTGGCTATATGGGAACAAAGGCAGATGTAACGAAGGGAAAGAAAGAGCATCAATCACTTACTTGAATGAAATGAACAAAATGTGTAGTAGAAAACTATAAAATCTAGTTATGCTTTTGGAATAATTAAACTTCTTAAATCTAATTTGCTCTAGAAACCAGGCTTGGCTAGTAGAGAAAGACATCATAACAGATATAATTTTAAGACACATGAAAACTCTTGACACATATGAGAGGGCTTTATATGTATAAAACAAAGCACAAGGTTTGTGGAAAAATGGATTTGAAAGATAGATGAAAGTTTTCCATAAACTTTTTGAAGCCTATATGTAACAATAAATTTTCAATTCTTAGCAACAAATCACAAATGTTTACCCTGTACTTTGTCCTGTCTGATCATTCAAATAAAGAAGCTAGAAAGGTAGACTAGTTGGACAGCTAATTTAATCATAACAGAAGCATAGTGCTCTCTATACAGACACACTTTACATTTATAATGTTGTTGTTATTTAGTGCCATTGAATTGATTCCGACACGTTACATTTATAATAGAACATCTGAAATGACGGGAGAGAAAACTGTTTCAGTATTAAAAATAGTCTCTAATAAAATAAGATAAAATTAGCATATAAACCATCTGCAACTAATAACAAAGTACATGAAATTCAGTGTTTAGACAGAGTTATGTAAGGTTCAATAACATTATGTATGTCACATTGTTTAATTCAATGTCTCTGAAATAAAAAATACTCACAGTCTTCATCTAAGAATTTATACTGTATGTGTTTCTTGAAAAAGTCTTGTATGCATCTGTAAATTTCATCCTTTTGTTTAGAAATATGGTCATAGTATTGTGTGTAGTCCCTTTGAGAAATACCTGATAAGAAAATATTTTATATTATTATATAATATTCTTTTCATAAACATCCAAATGTGATTTACACCTTTTTTTCAAAGAATCATTAAAATTGATCAACTTGCATTCCAGGAACAGAGGACTCTGGGACCAGCAAGAGAGAAGAGCATGGGTGGAGCATGGGACCCGAACCAAAGAGGCAGCCATACCAGAGATGATGGCATAGAGAGATAGAGCATCTGAGGACTCTAGATTCATGGCATGAAACAGGCTGTGTGCTGGTAGGCAGGGGGCTGGTTTGCAAAATATGCCCTTTGTTATATATTCCTGCGTGTTTTTATGTACATCAAAAAGGGGGATTGTAATCACTACAATGAAACAAGATGTGACTGGTTGAATGCAAAACTGATGTTCTACAATGTAGACTATCACTCAATTTATAATAAGAGCTTGTAAAAAAAAAAAAAAGCTTTATGGAGGCTATTAAAAAAGAATGGATCAAAATAACAATCAGAAGAATTTGTTGTTGTTTAAGTACCGGAGTCGAATCTGACTCATAGTGACCCTGCACAGGTTTCTGAGACTGTAAATCTTTATGGGAGCAGAAAGCCTCATCTTTCTCCCGCGGGCATTATAAATTACTCACCATTTTACACGGGTAAAAACTTATCAGATGTAGAGAATCATATGGAAGGGTAAATACTAAAGTTCCATATTGTGATGAATTCTTACTTTGGAAATATTACTTTTATTTACCACAATGTAAGAAAAATCTACAAGTATAAAAATAAAAGCTGCAATTTAAATGGACAGTCAACTGCTGCGTCTTTGATTTTTCCAGTCCTCTTACCTAAAATAGTATACTTTCCACTTTCTTTAGAAAAATTTTTAGCATTCCTCACTATGTATCTTCCACAATCACAATGCATTTCATAAGAGCATTTTAATTTCTTCATTCTTATGTATTGTTGTTGTTGATAAGTGTCATAGAGTTGGTTCAGACTTACAACAACCTTGTATATAGGGTTTCTCAGAAGCAGGTGGTGGGTTTGAATTGCTGACCTTGTGGCTCACAGTTCAGTGCTGATCCTATAGCACCACACCAGTTCTCCTCTGCCTTAAATCTGATCTTTGAAGCTATAAAAAATTAAAAATTTCTCTTCAAGAATGACTTGCTGATGTAATTCCCAAAATACTAATGGGACTATTATAAGCACTTCCTTAATTTGCTCTAGTCCTAGGAAAAGGGACTCTGCTCTCAACAAAGGGATTCCAATTTCTCAATCACATTCCAATATAATTCTCTTCTTTAGGCATTTAGACTGCATTTCCATTCCTAGGAACATCTAACATTATAATACATTTAAACATCCCAAATTTCATTTTGGTAGGTTAGTTAAGCATCAACATTCAATAAATAAATAATGACTTCAAGCCAAAGTGGTGTTGGGTCAGATATGACATGCTGCCCTCTAGAGCACAGACCCAAGAAACTAAGTAAACCAGACACAGAAGACAACCCTGGGATTCTGAGCATCACATGAAAGCATAACAAACTAGACAGAACACTGAAGAAGAAACAGACTAAAAGCAATGAATAAGCAGAGATGGACCTGAAGGACATCATGCTGAGTGAAATTAGTCAATCACAAAAGGAAAAATATTATATGAGACCAATGTTGTAAAAACTCAAAAAAATG